GATGTCCTCTTTAACAACTTCCACATTTGCATATGTTTTCCCATTAAGATGGTGTTGCTGTGAATGAAAAAGATGGTAATCTGGTGGTGCCATATCTGGAGAATATGATGGGTAGGGGAGAACTTGTCAAACGTGCCACATGTGGACATGCATTGTCATGGAGAAGAACACCTTTCTAATTGACGAATGAAGGGCATTTCTGATGAAGGGCTTGATTTAAACGTTCCAGCTGCTGACTTAGAGATTTTTGCATTTACAATTTGCTGTTGATTGAGAAGTTCATAATGAATTACTGTTTTCATGTCCCACCAGATGCAAAGCATCACTTTCTGCAGATGAAGTCCAGGTTTTGGGGTCGGAAGTGGTTTTTGTCTAGGACTGAGCCATTGTTTTAGGCATTTAATATTCATATAGAGAATTTATTTTTCATTACCAGTGACAATTCTGTCCAAAAATGGTTCACACATTACGCACCAGAAGAGACAAAGCAACGTTCACATGTTGAAAATGATGATCACTGGAGAGTTCAAGAGGCACCCAAACACCTTCTTTATGGAGTTTTACCATATAACTTGGATGTTTACATATTGTTTCATAAGAGACATACAATTTCAGTGTTTTGACTTAGGTTAAACTCGACAAGCATCTTCAGAGCATCAATATCAATTCCAATATGTCGGCCCCTGCCATCACAGTTTTTAAGGCTAAAGTCACCAGAATGAAATTTGCTGAACCACTGTTGACACTTACGAACAATCAAAACATTTCCATAAACTTTTTGATATTCTTTGTGGCTACAGAGGCATTGTTTCCCTTCTTGTATTCAAATAGCATTAAATGCTGAATGTGTCTTGTCGTATGCCCTCACTATAAGGGATTAGAGTATACTAAACTTTACACATTATATAGGCTACACTAACATGATGTTTAGGCAGTTTGTTTAACTGTTATATGTGATGTATGTTTTTTGGGGGCTGGTTAATGAAAGTGTTCCAAAACATGACATTAATTTCTTGATAACCTGACTGATCTATACTGTTACAAGCTTAGTTACTTAGGATAAGCTAATGAAGTTTTGTATTACAATTTGAAGTAATTCTAGGAACAAAAAAAAGGTAATTTAGATTTATTTTAATTATTTTCTTTTTCCTTTTTGGTAGTTACGAGGTCAGTTAAGTTGACCAATCCTGTTTTGAGTTAGGGTAGAGAAATTAACAGGTTAAATATAGTTTTACTGAAAAAAAACGTTTGAAATGCATTTAGGAGGTCTTAGGGATTACAGAAAGGGAATTTGAGATTTTTGAGATGAAGAAAAGTATTTTTAATATTAACATAAATTACTTTGTACACAGACTATTTAAAACAAATATTCAATATATTCGTAGACAAAACTTTATTCAAGTTTATTAAAAATACTTCACTAAAAATGATTTTTTGTATGTGAAAGACATGACATAAACTGAAAGACTGCCAAATTAGAAGTATTAAATCTATAAAGACTTTAAAATGAGTATAAAGAGATCACATGGTTGGTCAAATTGACTGACTACATGTTGAGAGAGTTAAATCCTTTTTATAAACTAAATAAATGTTATATTTTCTTGATGAAACCCATGCTTAAGTAGTGTAGTTACTGTTTAATAAAGACTGGTTTTCATGCTTTCTGCAGAACCAGTAACAAAGTTAGGGCTTTTAATTTTATATGTCTGTATATGTTAAAAGATAATCATATTTGCATGTTAACATATGAACCAGAACTATTGTAAAATCTTAATCTCAAGCTCTCAGAATATTTATTTTTTGTCTTTTCAAAATTAAATTAATAAACTGAACCACAGCTATTAATTTACTATTGTTGAAATATTTCCAAAGGTATATTGCAGCATGTTTGCATTTTTGCCTTTAACTATAAGATATTGTATTTTCTCTATTTCCAACATAGGAAAAGAGCTCACAACTGTTTTACACACACACATATATAAATATATATGTGTGTGTATGTATTACAAATTGTGCCTGCTGGTGATGTGTTAGTATTTATGGTGACATTTTTATTCAGTTATATAATTTTTATCATTATATTTCTAACTGGACCTTTAACTGTCTGAAACTGTTCTGTACTCTTATTTATTGATGCTTACTACTCCTAAAATATATCTATACATTTTTGTTATGTGAATGGTGTAATGAAAGAAAATGCTGTCCTCAAAACGGGCCTTTCTAATAAGAAGAAAATTGTTTTAGTGGCTTTGGTTTGTATAGCTTTTACGTTGTTGTTAAATGTAAGAAGTAGCAATTATTGGTTTTTGACATGTTCACCCTTGAAAACAAACACATGTATATTTATTATTCCAGGAGGAGAAGAAAAGGCCACCAATCAACTTGACACCCAGAAGATTATCTGTCCGTGGTATGTTTGAAGGATTTAATGGCAAAAAATAGATTTATTCAAAGTAGCTTTTAGCAGTATGTTCATACCTGCAAATATGAGATTTTGCTATTAGCTTGAGTAAAAGATATAGCTGGTGATTGGTGATTATGTTTTATATTTAATTATTTATGAAATATGTTTATCTTAAATATAGTGCATCCATTGGGAGGTTCAGAATTTTTCTAGGGGTGATATGTAGCATGGGAGCATGTAAGAGCAAAAGATCCAGTATATTCTATAAATGGTGCATTTTTAAGTATTTATATTTTTATATGCCATAAACTGTCTAGAAATATAACCTAAAATTTGCCAAAAAAGGGGGGGGGAGAGACTTGTTTTTAAAAATATCTGAATGAAAGTATGAAAGAGTGTATGACAAAATTAACCTGCTCATTATTCACAAGAACTGGCTCCCCTCCCTACCCTACTGAAAGATAATACGTGTGCACACGTAAACACACATGTATATATCAGTACTATAAAGGATAATATTGGTCATGAATACATTCAAGTTTTACAGGATAAAAACTTACACCAGTTTCAGATTAGCTGCAAAAGTTATAAATAAACATCGAGGAAACCTGCATAAATAGCACCTGTTAGGGATATTCCATATGTTCAATTAACTTCCATATTGCTGGTGAAAACTGCCATGCAAGAAAAAGTAAGGCCTATGTGCTCAAGTCCACATGTTCCAAATTAATCTACTGTTCAAGATTATATTGTTTATCAAATTATATGGGAAAGGTAGGATAGTTCTGATATAACAATATTTTGTATCACTGAATGATGGTTGTATGTACTGTCTGCCTTAGATTATAAATGTGAATAAAATTTAAATCAATAATGTAAGTTTGAACTTTGTAATTGATTTTGTGAAGCTACTGCCATGCCCACAAAAAAAGCAATGGAAGGTCAGTTGTAGGAGTTTAAACACTAGTCTGACCTTTTATTTTTATTGTTTTTTCACTTGCATGCATCAGAGTTTTTCACCCGCCATTGTGAATGATCTACATCTGGTATAACAGAATGTGCAAAGGGTTAAGTATCTGTAAGAGATGTGGTAAGCTTTTAGTAAAATATACATTGGTGTTGTACACACAAATATCAAATGCATTACCAAACTATTTGTACACAAGATACTTTTGTGAATTGGTGACATCAGTCTGATTCAGACCCTGACAAATTAGAGTGTAGTGTAATGTTCATGTGAAGAATAAAAATATTTTGTACACCATATGGTTTATATATTGTATTTGTGTAATATCTAGGGCCTTCAAAATGCATACCTGTAGTTTCCTTCAGTATTCCTGTTTATTGTTTCTGGTACTTACCATGAACTGTTGCTAAATCAGCAATGTAGGGTGAAATGAATAGTTGATAACTCTAACATCAAATACATAATACAATGTTGAATATTTCTTTAAAAGGTTGAGGCATGTCAGGGCTGTAGGAAATGGTAAGGCTAGTTGTGTGACCTCTCTTTGATGGCATGGATAGTTACAGATTATGTATTAAAATCTTCTTCTTTTAATTCAATATTTTGTGTGTATGCAGTATTTGCAGTTAAAATGGCCCAAGATTCAATCTTGTAGCATTAAATGTTAAAAACTTTTCTGGGGCATGCCCCGAGACACCCCTAGAAATGGCATGCTTTGTATACTGGTAGTGTTCTTTTCACACATTTTTCAGCTATGGCAATGGCCTGACCACTCTGAAATTGTTTCCTATGGCAATGCACAATGCGTGTGCTCTTTGACATCCACTTATGCACATAGGGATAATCATTTTGTTTAGTTTCGATGGTGCACGATTTGAATACATTAAGATTTATATTTATTAGTTTTATATCTATGTATAAATAAAGAGATAACAATTTTAATATTCTATCCATTTTGGCAAAGACTGCTAACAGGCTGCCTGGATATTCATGCTTGTAAAACGATAAATTGTTTTCTGTTTATAAATAAAATCAATTATTTTCTAAATGCTAAATCAAGTTTGTCTGATATTACTAGGTAACAAGGATCGTGAAACTGTAAAATCTGCTGAAATTTCTCAACCACGGAGAAAGAGAAAGTGGGCAACAAGCATGAACTCCATACCCAAAGCATCACTTAGTATATCTACTGATGCACTAAAGGTAATTCATATTCTTTTTATTAAGAGAGATTGATTTCTGGATTATTTGTTATGTATTAAGGAAAAGAACTGGTACACAAATTATTAACTTCGTATTTTGATTGGAAAATAACCATTATATTTCAGCATGTTGTATATAGGTTTTAAAGTATTTGATCTCTGGATTTTGTTATTAAGTAGATTCTCAGTTTTTTGTAATAAAATTAGTTAAGTGTATTGTGTAGTTTACTCAGAACTGAGTTGAATTTTTATTAGTTTTAGTTTGAAATTATTACAATCATATTATCCAGAATCTACTTCCTGAAGATGTGCCTGAGACTCCTCCTACTCCAGAGAATCCCTCTCCTGATCCTGTCCCTAACTCTGAATCTGCTAACAGTCCTGAAGATGGGCCACCACCACCTAAGAGAGAAATTAAACTAAAGAGGCCTGAAATTAGAGTAGAACCAAGAGCCCCTTCTAAAGAGCCAGGTGAGTCAGAACAGCTTTAAAACAGTTTTTAGTCATTTTTTGCAGATGTTAATAAACGTGTTTTACAAGATTTATTTCAGTAAACATGGTAGCATGGTAAAAATGGCTTTTCTCTGAGGTTGAATCATTTATACTTACATTGATAGTTTATTTGTAGTTTCAATGGCCTATGGTAAACTACAGGAATAACAAAAAAAAATTTAAAACTAGTCAGTGAGAAAAATATTTAAAATATGTATGTATGATACATTAATCCTGTTAATACGGATAAAAGTCTTGTTAACTTCTGTTCCTAACAACCTGTGGAGTAAAATTGAGACTTTCAGCTCAATTGTAGAAGCATTGAACTTATTTAGCTAAAACTTCTGCATAGTTAGCACTGATAGATTTAAATTTTGACTGGTATCAACTTTCTTCAGGAAAGTTCTTATTTGATAGCATCTCTGTGTAATGTTACCAGCTTTTATTACATGACGAGATAGGCCTGTAATGTTTTTGTACTATGTGCATTTGAATGCATGGTCTAAACATCTCATGTTACAAAGGTTGTCACAACATTAGTAGATAGTATTTGTCCCCTATGGAGTTCCAGAAAGATTAGTGCACGATTTAAAAATTCAAGTCAAAATAATTTTTAAAATTGATATATGAGATGTTATACATACTGTATAGAATTATTTAAAACACTTCCAGCAACATGATGCAGTTGTTACATTTGGGTCTGATTTTATTTTTGTTTTCTTGGTGCAAAGAACAGATGCTGTTTCGTATTTATACCAAAAAGTATAATACACTACATATATTTCAAATTTAATCATTTTTAACTTTTACAGCCTTTAGTTATAGTCTAATTGACTGTGACTGGTAACCACAACAGTTTCAGTAATATTTTCTATGATGTATGTTCACTCTTAAAAAAAAATCAAAACATAATAGACACAACCAACAAAGATACTATGTACAGGCTATAGTATAAGCACACTAGTGCTCTGTTCTTGAACATGTAGTCTGAAGACTCTTAATGTACATTTGTGCATCTTAACTTTTATGATTTGTTTACATGGAGTAACTGAGAATTTAAAAAAAAATTCTTTTCTTCAATTGCATTCATTAACCCTTTATGAAACAGTGAGGTATAACTGATATCCCTTTTTTTTTCATTTTCAGAGTGAAATTATGTACAAAACTACATGAAATTTAAACTTTTTAACTAGTGTCCAGTATTTGATTTCTTATGTTGTGAAATTCTGATGATTTTTGTTGTGAAACAAAGAATGAAAATAATTCCTTTTGTATTAAGTTATTTTTATCTAGAAGTGCAATGTTTATATTTCAGACATTTGGAAATGTAACAGAAATTAAAGTTTGATTTTGAAGGTTGTTTTTCAAGTGAAATACAGTGGGCTGAAAAGGGTTAAAGACACTACCAAAACTTACTGAAATGGCCAAACAGTCAAAATTTTATTAGCACTCCCTGATTGTTGCTTGAGTAATGGTTCAGGACCACTGGAGTTTGATGAGATGTCAAAAGAGTGTCCCAAAGCGCTGATCATAACCACCTGTTTTTGCTAGGTTGTGTTGTCATACAATCCACTAACAATCAGTCTATTACAAAAATGTGCATAGGTTTTATAATAACAGACATCATCCACAGGCTTATTCCATTAGGCAGAATTCAAAAGATTGATCTCTCTGCCTAAAACATGAAAAAAAAACCTTCGTTTAGGATATTTTAGATTTTGAAATTCTCATGTGAGATTGTAAGTAAAATTAAGTGAATGTTAGCTACCTATCTTTAATAGTTTGTTTGAATGTTGTCAAAAATATTTGATGTTGATGTATCGTTTTGTTAAATTTAAGAGATCTAAGTCTGTTATATGTTGTTTTTGCAGAAGAAGTTAATGTTGCACCTGAAGAGGAAGTAGAGATAGTTGAAATTAAAGAAAACAAAGAACACACTCCATCCCCAGCAAAGAATCCAAAGTCCAACATTATTTCTATCCGTAACTTAGTCAGACCTTTTACCTTACTGCAGTTGAAGGATCTTCTGGCTAAAACTGGTACCTTAGTGGATGGAGGATTTTGGATTGATAAAATTAAATCCAAGTGCTGTGTTACAGTGAGTGGTTACAATGTCATTTTTAATATGTAGTGAAACTATCAAATTGTTTTGAAGAGACTTGATACATTTCATTGTGTTATAATTTTTGTGATGTAACATAATTAGAACCTTTTTAATATTTTTGAGCATACAATAACTCCTTTTCTAAGTATCAGCAGGTTCACAACGAAGAACTTAGTTAACTCATGAAGCCCTAATCCAAAATATAACATTTTTTTCTTTGAAAAAAACTGATTTTAATGAACTTGTACAAGCTATTTATCTTATGAGGCTCACTTAACAGCTTATATGACAAAGTTCTATAAATTTAATCTAGAAAAAAGAAATTCTTAGATACCCATCAATCACTTCAATATAAAGTTTATCCAAATTTCCTTATCATTGAGAAAATATTCATGAACATTTTTCATTCAAGTGAAGAAAACAATCCTCTCCTTTGTGTATTGAAATGCACATCGTGTTGTGCATAATTTTTTGTTTGTTTTGTTTAACAATTTTTTATACATCAAGGTTTTGATCCCTTTTTTATGGTGTCATTTTTATATGTAATCATATTATAGTTTTATTTTGTTGTTGGAAAAGTTATAATATTTTAATCTAGTACTTTCATATTTCTCTGATCATAGTAATTACTGCAGCATACACAATAAATCATGGTAGAATGGTAACATTGCATAACTGAAAAAAAAACATTCTCTTATGTTTGTAATAAATTAATTTACTTTTATCCTGTTCACTTTGCTAGATTGATGTACTGCATTTGGCATATGATTATCTCAATTTTCACTTTGTAACATGCTACATACTGGGCTTAAACCTGAATCATGTGCATCATGAATTTAATTCAATTTTTTTAAAGAGGAAATAAAAGTATTTCACAATTTCTTTCTAATTTTAACATGAAAAGATCATACCAAACAATATAAAACTGATTTCCATAAATATAGTTTGTTTTTCACTGCATGTAATAGTAACTTTGGTTAACTATATATATGTGTAAGGCAACTATAAGCAATCATTACAGCAGAGAGTCCTGCTAACTGCAAGAGAAAACAAAATAATATGCATCACTATGTATAGCCCACAGAAATAGAATCGTGAAGTTTTTCATAATGTTATAATACCATGAGTCTCAAAACATGGGTTCATTTATTTAAATTTTTGCACACGAGCATTGAGATGAGAGCTACATATAATATTGCAAGTGCATTTATAAAATATTCAAACAAATAACTTTTATATTGAAATTTGGATATGGTATTTTGCATATTTACTGAAACTTGTTACCTCTTGAACCATTAATAACACAAATTTACTGTTCATGTTTTAAGAGAAAAATGTGTTCAATGAAAATTCCTATGTTGTGAAATTGTTATGTCTTAATTTCTGTTTTGTAACTTAAGTTTCTAAAGTTCATTGTAAGCTAAACATATGACTTAAAGCTCATAAATATTTTAAAACATCTGCTTTGTTACAGTATGAAACTGAAGAGCAGGCTGAGGAGACAAGAAAAGCACTTCATGGAGTGCAGTGGCCTATTTCAAATCCTAAAACATTAATTGTTGATTTTGCTACAAAGGAAGAGGTTTGTACCAATAATTTTTTGTTTATCAGAATTGAATATTTTTCAGGGAAAAAAAAATCAGTTATATGCTTAAAAACAAAAAAAAAATCAAATTAACTATGAATTATAAATGAATGTTGACAAAAACCTTCCTTGTATTTTCTAATATTCCACATGTTTGTAAACACTTCTGTGTTAATATATTATCTATATTCTACTTGAAAAATACTGTGTTTGAGTCAAGCAAGTTATTAACAACAGGTGTCAGTGTGACTCCTTTCACCACAGCTTTAGTTTGGTAAATTCTGATGTTTAGCTGATCTTTAACTCTCTCACTATGGGCTTTGTTCCAACCTTGGAACCATTTTGTTCTTGTTATAGTGATAAGTAATGATTTGCTCTTGCGTTTTTCTTTTTGAGTGTTGACTAACGAACATGCAAAGTAATTTTGATTTTATGATTAAAAATACTTTTATGCATCAGAAAATTGTTAAATGTCACTTACAGGTAATTATCAAACTTTTTTTTTAGAAAAACTTTATATTTTATATGTTGTTTTCACTAACGACTCTCTGTACAAGTTTGGTAGATTTGAATGATCTCGTAATCACCATAAAAATTGGGAAATAGATATAAATTATGCTCTTTCATTCTAGAATGACAACAAATTATAATATGAAAACATAAATGTTTAGACTAAATAGCTTACATTTCTTAAGTTCATGAAATAGTAGTTCAATAACATTTTAAATGTAAGTCTACAAATGGACTGACATACCCTTTACCATAGGAAAACCTGTAGTGATAGAGTTAACATGAATACAAATTGTAATTAAATTTCAATTACTGTGGTGTACAAATGTTAAACATTGTTTTACTCTTGCAGTTGGACCAGCATTTGCATGAAGAAACACCACCAATAAAGAAAACTGTCCTTACTGAAGATAAAAACAAAGAACATAAACAGAGAGAGGAATGGTTGGGAGATAGAAAGAAGGCCAAAGATGTGGAGGAAAATGACAAAAAGAAGGAAAAAAATCGATCTGTACGGCAGAGAATAACAGCTCCAATTAGAGAGTGGGATGTTGGAAAACTCCCTTTAGAATCACCTGAAAGAGATGAAGAGAAGAAAAGATTAAGGGAAAAGGAAAAAGACCGAAGTGCAGAGAAGAAAAAAGAGAAAAAGGGTAGGTGACCTTTTAATAGTTTATTTTAAATTATAAAATTTTAATACTGGCATAAAGTAGCTGCACGCCACGTTTCTTCTGTAAAAGTCAAAGAAGTGTTTGTATTTGATGTAAAATCACTTTTGTGATAAAATGTTAGAATTAATTGATCTTTTGTAAAGTTCTTAGATTTTGTTTGTTAAGAATTTCCGTGATTAAAAACAGTGGAGTGGGTATTTGTTGCTTCATGACTATGCTATGTGACCATAGCCACTAACACTGTTTCAATCTGCAATGGTGATTAGGTAAAGTGTTCTTGTATATGAAACAAAACTACTAATTCAATTGGATGAAGTAATGAGAAGGTAGAGTCATAAACTGAGGTCGAAGAGACAACATTCAAATGGTGTCTGCCAAAGAATAGGCCAATTTTTTTGGCTTCTTAAGATCATGCAATGAAGGCCTGGCACCTCCACTAAATAGATTAAATTTTTACAATGCCTTTAATAAGCAAATCAGTAACATATTAGGTTTCTCTAGGTTCACAAATTTAGGAGATTGAACCTAAAATACACATTTCATTTTCATAACTTTCCGCATTTTTCAAATATTTATTATTTTCTTGTTGTTATAGCTAGACAAGAAACTAAAAACAAGCAGCATTATTGGAACAGGTGGCAGATAACTGTTTTGTTCAACATACTCTGTTCTATTGACAGGAGTAATTTTTATAATGTTAATTCTTCAGCTTTAATCTTGGTTATCAAATTATTAATGTAGCTCAGTAGCTACAACCCGTATTTTTAATTTTGTGTTTTTGCTTATAGATTCTCGACATAAACAGGAAGAAGAAACTTCGGCTAAACTTCTAGATGATTTGTTTCGCAAGACAAAAACCACTCCTTGTATATACTGGTTACCTCTAACTGAAGAGCAGGTGGGTGACTGAAACATAGGAATAAAATATTAAAACTGAAAATAAGTGCAGTCGTATTATTCTGGTGAATTTCCATTGTAAAAACTGTAGTATATCTAACGTGATACATTCCACATCCTCTTCTCGGTATAAATGGTTTTCACAGATTCAAAGTGCAGTTGTATTATTCTGGTGAATTTCCATTGTAAAAACTGTAGTATATCTAACCTGATACATTCCATATCCTCTTCTCGGTATAAATGGTTTTCACAGATTCAAAGTGCAGTTGTATTAGTCTGGTGAATTTCCATTGTAAAAACTGTAGTATATCTAACCTGATACATTCCATATCCTCTTCTCGGTATAAATGGTTTTCACAGATT